TCGACTGGTGTTGCTTCGAAACCATCCCGGTCGATGAAGGTGCGCACCTTGGTGATTTGTAAAAGACCGGAAGGAAGCGCTGTTCAAGGAGCCCATGAAGTGTTTTTCAGGAGCCTCGTCGAATAGAGGAGCTTTTGAACAGCGCTTCCTGAAGACCCTGAAGACCCCAAGAAGCTACTCGTGTACTAAAAAGGATTGGCCAGTTCTTTCCTGGTTTGTTTTCCCCCAGCTTCTTCCCCCCGCTTCGTGGTCGTCGCAACCGGAACGATCACTTCCAAAAACGGAGTCCAAATGTGCCATAAATCGCCACGGTGCCAATACTGCAACCAAGGCTTGGGGTGTCCCTCACGGTGAGTCTTCCCCGCACGCTTGGCTTAGCGCCCAAGTCGTGAGGATTTGCCTTTGCCAAGAAGAAGGGCAGCTTCTGTGCCGAGAAGACCGACGAAAAGCCCTGACTGAGGAGGAGGCCCTGGTCCGGGTCGAGTCTTCGAGTCTTCGGGGCTCGAGGCTCGAGGCCGCGTAAGGAAGGGGAGCCGATCGACCAACATCAATGATGGGTGTTCTGGCTGGACACCCTCCAGCCACCCAGATGGTCGGATGGTCCAGGTCGATCGCGTGTCATCACTGTCACTGTGTCTGGTTTTTTCTCAAGAAGAGTGGCGGGCTCCATATAGACTCGATCTGATCCATAGTGGCGAGGTTCATGGATCCATCGGTCCATGGCCTCGGCCTTTCTGGGGTGGTGATGGCATGTGAGATGAATAGGAATGTTGACACAGTTTTTTCACTACCTAACTGGTGAGAACTGGCCGTCTGACCGATTGTTGCTGGGAGCGTCCTTGGGCAGCTTGTGTGAGTTTCTCGTGTTACATTCGATGGCATGTCCATCATGGCAGAGATTTAGTCTTGTTTAGCCCACAAAATGGACTTGGTGGTGGTCACTCAATGCTCTTTTTGCAGCGCAAGGCAAGGTGCATTGCTTCGAGGTTGCGTCCCCTTGCAGGGGACAACGCAAGGAAGCATGATGGTTCATGGTGCCCCAAATCTGCTGAGTCTTCTTGACAAGACATGACTGTTTGGTTATCCCAGAGACTCCATGCATGATATATTTACCTACATGTGTGGTTTGAGGGGTCAATGTAGGTATATATGACAGACATGGAGTGTTTGGGTATATAGTTGCTATAGCGATTCCCAAATGGATATACATTTGCTACGTGGGGATCTACGAACTTCTATCTATTTCAGGGTATATATATATATATATATTCTATATATAATATATATGTAACATACTGGTCGTCAAGACCATCAACAAGACGCCAGCCCTGCCGAGCCACAGGATTTCAACGCCCCCCTCGCTCGATGAGGGAGCTTTGCTTGTTTGTCGGACGCCAAGAGAGACCGAGACACAGAAAAACATGGTAACAATATTAATGGTACAGTCGTTTCCACGGAAATCTCCAGGTATTTGGCTCCAATAACATGGCCAACGAATGCTGTCTTTGAGGTCCCAACTACTACCCCGAACAGCTGGACAAAAAATACTAAAATAAACATAAATAGACTAAACTATTAGACCTCCCAAATAGAAGCTGAGCGAGGGGTGCTCGAATTTTCACACGTCAGATGTCGCTCAGATCATCCAAGAGCATTGAGATGGCCACTATAAAACTCCCTTCTGAACAGGGAAAGAAGGAGAAAGACCATTGACATAAGGGTGTTGTCTTGGAAGTACCTGCACGTTTGCAAACTTGTGTGTGCACCATATATAAGAAATGGTTCACTACATGCCGGAGGTCCACGGTAAAAAGTTAACTTCTTTCTGAAGTACATCTAAATGGCACGTGAAGGGTGGATTGGTGTATCATTAACCACCCGTTGTTGGTTGGCTCCATTTCATCGGCATTTGCTTCAAAGTGCATCTCATGCCTGTTTGCAAGGGTTGGCAGTTTACCCAGTGGAGACACCATGGTGAGGGGTAAGATTATAATAATACTATATACTTTTGACTTCATGACGGGATCAGGCATGATTCATATGAGTAACCACTTTTATTTAGGCTTTACTAAAGTAGTCTACGGCATGCTCTATTTGATTGTCTATCATCAGTATTCGCTTGTGAACGAGATAGGGTCCCCACATAAACAAGATACTTTTGCTTGACGACACTAAAGTAGTCTGAACGAGATAGTGTGATTTGCCATTAAAGTAGCCTGAACGAGATACTGTGACATGACCTCCTACTTAAGTAGTCTAAACGAGATAGGGCCCCCACATAGTGTATTTATTTGAGTTTAATACCAAATAAATGCCGCCACACATATGTGCGCTGCGTCAGAGCTCCGAGAATGGATTCAATAATATCAGTGGCAAAACAGTGAGGCCTTGAGCAGCCAGACTTGGCACGTCAGAGGTCTCCCGCGTCCAGACTTGTCACTCTGCCACCCCGTCGCGAAAAACGAAGTACTTTTTTTGGTTCTTCGACAGCGCTGGGACATGTGCATTCGTTGCCGGGCTCGTTTGGTACGTCGAGCCTGCGAAGCCTTGCTTATTAGTGAGACCTGGACCAGCCAATGTGCAAAAATATGTCAAACAGGTCAACCAACAACTACAGCTACTACATCATGCAGTGATTTGGTAATAGACCTGACCTACTGGTATGGGAAACAATTGTTCTGGTGTTTGTCGAGCATTGGACTGTTTTAACATGTTTGTTCAAGCTGAATGGGGTGTCCAAAATGCTCCAAATGTTCGCACATGCTCGCAATGTTTCCACGCATATCCGTCGCCCTAAGTGCAGGTCAAGGTGTTCAAGCAAAGGATTGCATAAAGCAATTTCTTGGCATGACCACTCCTTAAAGTATGTGTTAGGAGGGCTATGGCCCTCTTTATTTTGGCTTTCAGTGAGGGCTTCTTTATTTACAGATTTGTTGTTTGGCATACAAAGGTGGGGGAAGAGGTGTTTTGGCCGCACCCAATATCACCCAATAAGTCCAAGCACTTTTAAGGAAGCACATGGCTTGAAACTGTGGATCTTTAGGGATCCAAGTACCTTCTCTGTCAGAAGGTGATTGGAGACACTGTCATGTAGGTTTGGAGGGTCCAGTCGTACCTTCTGAGAACGTACGACCGGATCCCTAGGGGATAGTATATAGTTCCTATATGTTCCGGATCCTATATCAATTTAGGCACCTGGACTTCAAGATTTCGGAACCCAGCGCTGTCTTCGCCACATGATTTCAACAGCTCCCCTGAGCTCGATGCGGGAGCTCCACTTGTTTGGACGCCAAGAGAGACCAGGATACGGATTGGATTGGAATGATCTACCATCGCCGAAAGTGAACGTGAACTGCCACACCATTCCTGAATTGGGGTTGTGATTTGCCACGTCACTCGAAGCTGGCAGGTTGTTTGGCCTTGTTTTACCAGACCGCTTTTGGGGGGGACCGGGATTCTTCAGGGCTTCGAAACCCCGTCGTTGACAGAGAGCGAAACACCGTTTGTCAGACGTCGACCAGACGACCATCACAGTCTCTCCATCTTACCCGGATGGGCTCCTGTCGGACCTTCTGAGAAGGTGTTTATGGGTTTAGAGGGTCCAAATACCTTCTGAGGAGGTACTTGGAGCCCTAGGGTTATAGAACTTCGAACTTCGCAGATCTCCGAAGACCATTTGGCCCTGCGAAGAAGTGACCACGTTCTGATTCGGAAGCCCCCCGCGTTGTCATTCACCCGGGACACACGGGTTCGTCGAACCGGAAGAAGTTTGGCCGAATCAGCACCTGCCAAGTACCCTTTGTGCATGACCTCATCATACCCAGACCACGAAGCCTTATAAAACCGACCTACGAAGCAAAACGCAACGACGGCATGATGTCTGTTAGCTATAATGTCTGCAAGTCAAAGACCTTGTTTATATAATGTTTTTTCCTGGTTCTGTAGTAGTGTAAAGCCCTTCGTAAAACCATGGTGGTTCGACTTCTAGGGTATCAAGAAGTCTTTTGGCGTCAGTAAGTTGAAGACCCACCGGGAAGGGTCGAGTCTGGAGTTGCTTTGACCAGACCCGACCCCCGCAACCAGTGGCGGTGTGCGCTAAAATGGACGGACTTCACCTCTCCTTGCTGTGCGGTGTCGGTGTTGACAACACGGCCATGTGGCCATCAAGACCTAACCAAACAACAACAACCATACCCAGACACGACCTGTTTGGGACTGCCATATATGCCGCCCCATTGGGGTGGTTTGAGGGGGTCACACTCCATGGGACTGCCACATATGCCTACATTGACCCCCCAAACCACCCCAATGTAGGCATATATGGCAGTCCCATGGAGTGTTTGGGATAAGGTTGACAACCCTTGTTCCAGGGTTCAACTAAGAAGGCCCGGTAAGACCTTAGAAGGCACACGATGGGTGGACACCGCGAGCGGTGGACAGCGTGGATCAGATGCTCATTGTTGACAGGCGGTTGGTGGGTATGTGCAATCACAGGAGGGGCAGCAAAAAAGGCCTGAACAGAATTTTCCCGGCAAGAGACCCCAAACATTGTGGAGTGTATATCATACGCACTTTCGGGTAGGAAGTGGCAGGAGGTGAAGCACCTGGATGATTAAACTTGGACTATCCAAGGCCAGAAACTCGACTTGAAGCCCCAACATCTCACCACTCCGAATGCACCCGTTGGTTCCGATCGCCCCGCCGTTCGGAAGTCGCTGACCTTGGCCATCCAGTTCGGAACCCGCATGCCGTACCGTTCCGCCTGGGCCGTTCCAAGAAAGAACTCATCCGTCCCGTCCAACAACCGACCTACACTCCAGTCAGGGCTTCCAGGACCTGGGTGCAGGTGGGTGTCCGTGACTGCTGGGTGTGTGTGACAACGGGTTCTTCTGCTTCGACCCACGCGGACGCGGCTGGAAGAGGACCAATCGACCGCCGATTGGCATAGACCACCCGCCTCACTTCGGGACTGCCGGACAGCAAGACGGCGCAGAGTGGAGGCATCTTGGGCTTTCTGACGATGTTGCCGCAGCCCCTGGGCTGGGAGGCTTGTGAGGCCCGCTAGTTGCGCTAGTGATCCGCGCGTTTTCGCGCGCGAGAGAGAGTGACTGGCGCCATTTCCACCAGTCAGAAGGTTTTGCGGTCGGATGTGGGATGTGAAGATGTATTTGTTTGGGGGGAATCCCAAGATTTTTGATAGAGCAGATTGCTGAGTTGCATAATGAGCAAGACATTGTAACGGTGTGGATGGATAGTCCAAAAGTGGAGACATGATTTGATTCTTGAGAGGTTGCTTTTGTTGTTTTAGAACGGTTCGAGGGGTTCCTTGTTATTCTGTTATTTTCTTTGTTGCCCTTGCCCACACCCAATTCAGTTTTCCCATGAGCCCAGATTCACCGAAACAGTCAGTGGTGGTTCAGGCCAGGCTCTATGAGGATGTGCTGCAGCATTATCGAGGAGACTCAATAGGAACAGAGCACGGATGGCCGAAAGCGCAAGGGCTGGTCCCGGGTAATCAGAGCCATCGATTTGCATCGGCTCCGTCGCCCCCCCCGAAATAGGTCCTTCAGTTGAGCCATCTGAAGCCCCAACACCTCCAAATGACATGGGTGACGTCAGTTGACGTCCTATTCTGATCGGGGCGACTATACGGTTCAACACGCTTTTGATCGCTTTTGTGTGAGCAGAAGACCAAGTCCCCAAATCCACTGCTGCGCGCCAAGCGGGCTGGGCACGAAGTGGGTCGGAACCCACACATTTGCTAACAGTAAGCAGTTTACTAGATGAAATTGGGTTTTGTTGGGAGGAGCACGACATCCATTTCTGGAACAGACGTTTGACAACAGAAACACAACAATGTACATTCTTGAGAAGAGGACGCACGTAGTCAGAGCCAGTGACCATCAGTGACCCTAACCTTCCAAGACCTTAACGGAAAGGTTGACCTGGTATGACCTGGTCTTATAGTGTAAAATCATGAAACTCCTTAGTACTAAAACAATAATGAGCAGTAAACCACAGGTTGTTCAAATCCAAGGGTGAAAGATATCAAACAATATCAAACAAACAGTTATCAAACATTAAAACCCACACACACGCATGCACACACACAGACGCGTTTGGCCTTTGATGTTCTCTCAAGTGATGAGATCTTGCGGTTTGGTCAATTGGGATTTCTTCGTTTGGTTTGCGACGTGCGACGGTGAGAGGTACATGTGACGTCCGGTACAGGTACGCACCGACCGACCCGGACTTTTAGACCAGGTTTGCTTTTTGGTCTTCGAATTGGGGCATTGATAGGGGGAATAAGGAGTTCGGGACCACTTCCGAAGCTGCTTGTGCTGGGGAGGTATCCGGCAAGCTTGGCGCTTTAAGGGCGCTTTTTAAGCTGACCCATGGTCACAAGGTGCTGACCCATTGACAAGTGCTGACCCATTGCATTCCCAAGGTAGCCAGCAGAGAGCAGCTACATCTATACTGTTGATGCACAAAGCAAGTGCAAGAGATACTGGAATTGGCGGCACCAGTAACAGCAGCATACCGACCCTCCCAACACACGTCACCAGGTCTAGCGTCTCTAGTGCGCCAAGTTCAACCCTCCAAGTCTTCCAATCGAGTTTGGGCTGATTCGTAAACAAATTACTGTAATTCATTACAATGTACTGTTTTGCCCCTCCATCCTCCATGCTTCCACCGCATGCCCTGCTCCTTCCGCATGCCCTCCCTCCGCGCATGTCATCGCTAGGAGGTGAGGGACCCCTGCCGGACGTCGGAGAGGCGAGGCGCTCCACCGATGGAGCTGAAGGGGAATCGTTGGGAGCAACTGCTGTGCGTCTGCTGCGCTGGGCACGGTGTTCAGACCAAAAACTGCATAGCACGTAGTCCACCATCTGGAAAACACCGGTGGTGTTCATAGCGGGGTCTGATATGTTCTGCCCAGACACTCCATGATACTCGTTGATACATTTGGGGTGCGGGGAGGGGACTCTCAGCGATGCACATTCCTGATGAGACAATGGTTTGCGCACAATTGCTAATCCATTGTACTGTTCGAACATGTTTGGAGGTGACCCTTCAAATCTTTTAAGCGAGTGAACAAGACTGTGTGGTGAGTTCGGTTAAGTTACACCAGTTGGAGAAAGAACCTACGGGACATGCTGGCATATGCTTTATCTTGATGTTTAAATAGTAACTGAAACAAAGTGAGCAAGTAATATATGTCAAACGTTTGAACCCGACTTGGATTCCTTGTTTTAGTCGGAATCTGCTACAGTTGTAACACGCATCTTCGAAAGCGGGACACTTGGAGGAAAGCAATCCACGGTGTGTGCGTGCTTGCTGACTGGCAGCGCTGGTGCGCTCGTTCCACGGCATCGTGCATCGTTCGACGGCGTGATCCGCTGATTGCTTACATTGAATCTGCAGGACCATCGCCGCTTGGGATTTCTGTCTTCCAACGGCCCACGGCCCTCGATGTAGTTTCCAAACATGGAGTAGTGTCGAGTCATCTAATCCGTGCGGCTGCGTGTGTTTCTTGTTTGGGGGCCCTCGGGGCCCGACGGCGCCCTCGGGGCCCGGCCGAATCATCAACTCCACGAGCCAGGCAAAGCTCCCGTGCTTTCACGGCCTTCCCAACAGATCCCAACGGTCCATCCATGTCCATCCTGAGACACCTGGCTCATCCTGAAAGCCTTGGCCACACGCGGAGATCTTGGCTGATGACTGTTCCATCATAGCCATAGAACGTTCACAGTAACGTTCACATATTGGTGTGGCGCGATGTCCATCTATGAGAAGGAATTCAATTCGTCCGTTCGGTGCTGTAAGTACAGTACTTGAGGTCACCCTAGAATCCAGAAGAAACAAAGGCAAGTGACAAGCGTGCTGTTTCAGTTGCTCTCTACGACTCTACCACCACTTTTGGGCAGGTCTCCTCTTGTTGGTTTCCCCACACGACCAGTCGATTTGCGGGATGGCTTTGGCAGGAGCAGGACGCATCTACAGAAGTACGCCCAAACATCCCCAAAATCTGGCCGCCATGGACAGCCCTTTTTGGGTGGACTCCTGTCCATTCTATGGAACGCCAATCTCAGGCAGAAATGGGGTTGTCCGTCATTGTCAGCTGTTTTATGAAGCTTCCATTCCCTTGCAAACCTGACTCCTTATAGAATGTTGTTTGTTTTGAATGTGTGCGCTTGAGCGTTCATCTTGACCCAATGAAGGTTTGGAAGGAGGGTGGGGTAAACCAAATTATGGTTGGCTCTATTTTAGGTTATATGCGGCGTGCAAAGGTGTCATTTTGCTTGGTTTTGGTCTGTCTGGGTTCCCCCTTCTATAGTGAGCTGGTGTCCATCTTTGTAGCTGGGGTAATCCATTTATATATATTGCAAAAAAGGTGGGGGAAACAATTTGATTTCTATAAAATGTGGAGCCCAGACCGACCATGGGAATTTCTACAGGGGTCCCGGGATACCCAAACCATGTCCCCACTCATTTTAGCTGAGCCTATGTGTCAGAGCGCTACTGGTATGTGCCACATCCATCAATCCATATCCTTTGATCATGTTATGTTCAATTCATCTCCCAGAAAGGTTGAACAGACATGACCGGTCGACCTGTTAGAACATGCCCGATCCATCCATCGCCACCCACCGCAGACTCTGGTCTCCGGCATCGCGTTTCGACTCGCGTTTCGACTCGCGACTCGCGACTCGCGACTCGCGTCGCTCGACACCCTGCCAGGCGCTGGGCCTCATCGCTTGGATTTGGCTGCAAGACGTCACCGTGGGCATGCGTCTCCAGGCGTTGGAACCCCACGGTTCGTTGGCCCGCGCGGTCCGGAGCGATCACCGGTGGTGGACAGTCTGTGAGCAAGCATGTGAGCAGACCGTTTGGAGCGGGATTAGACCTTCCAGGCAATAGGAAGAGGGAAGAGGTTAAGGGAAGAAGAGCGATTCTTTGAGCTGGAGATGCCGGAAACTGCAGTTCAAAACTGGCCAACAATGGCAACTAAAACAAACAACAATGTCGACATATGTCGACTAAAACAAACAACAACGATGACGACAACGACAACAACAACAACTCAAAGTACCTCTGGGTGTAACACTTAGCAGAACAAAAATCACGCCCCACCATACACCACTAGAACAATACACAACCCCCACTGGTCACCACATGATCCACTCTAGTGTTCAACCACCTTTTTCGCTGATCCTGGAGATCCATGTGTTCTGGAGACGACGACGTGGCCAGCCGCCTCGAATGACCCAGGGTTCATATATCATGAACATCATCCCAAAGATCAATCAACTCCAATCAATCTCTTGAGCAAAATCTGGACTCTTCACCCCGGTCGAAAGAATTCGAAATCGTTTCGGGGGGGGAAGAATCAGCTGACGCGGCGACCACCGTTGCCAGACCACTTCTGGCTGACCGTTGCTCCGCTGTGCGACCGAGCGGTTGAGGTCGACTTGGGGATGCGAAAGAATGCTCCATGGAAACCCAGTCCAAACAAAGGGTTAGAAACCGGGATCCTCTATAGGAAGTGGCTGGGACTGGGGAAGCATCCAGTGGGGTGTTTGGATTTCCGGTTGAGGCCCAATACCTTTTGATTCGTCGAAGCTCTCGTTCCACCTGTCATGCCCCACCTCCTGATCACCCCCATGGGCCAGGGCCAGCTGGTTTGCGCGGGGTCCAGCATCAGCCAAGACCTCGGAGCTCAGGGTCCTCGGATCCGCGAGGAGGACCTGTCATTCTCCCAAAGACAGATGAAAGCACCCCCTTCAAAGGAGATAGGACATGTCGGACTGAGCTTTGCGCTAGACTAGTCAGGACCAATTGGGACTGCTAGGGTTCCAACTATAGCTATAGCTGTGACGAAGTCTGTTCTAGCTTCACGAGTTCAAGGCAAAGGGTCTTCACTGTGAATCAAATCATGAACCATTAGACCATAGACATCTATAGACTCTAGACTATAAAGTCATAAAGATACGTACTGTAATATGTACTCATGTCGATGGATTTGGAAATCGGATGATACCAGAATGGTGATCTCCAGTACTGAGTTACAAGTTTTTCATGGTATAATCTCTAGATAGGGTGATGATGATCTCTATTATGACATGCTTCCCACGTGCTGAGGCGGTCCAACTTGGTTCACGACCTTGTTCGCTTTGGCGCTGTACGACCTCTCGCGGATGTGGTCCAGGTGGGTGCACCCTGGCGGAGAGGGAAGCCGGTGGAGTCTTTTTTGAAACAACATGGTGAGAGTTGCTCGGGTGCGGCAACCACTGCTGAAAGAGAACCAAGGCATCCAGCAGCGTCCAGTTCGCATGGCTTAGAAGACCTCCCGTATCATCCCGTATCATGTCTCTCCATCCAAACGATGCTTTGGGCATTTGGTTGCGTTAGATACCTGCAAGATCTATATGAAAAAGAGATGGGGGCATATGTTAGGGGAACGCAGGAACATATAGTATGCCGCCCGTGCCGGCGTCAATAATTTTAAGACCAAAGCTCAGAGGCCGCAGCCACCAATTGAAACAGGACCCGGCCCGGCAGCCGAGCATAGCTAGGACGGTCGCAACGGCTTTGGAGAATCTGCAAGCCTATAGTTAAAATGCCTGCGGATCAGCGCAAGTCAAGTATTAGGACACCACGCCAACTAAGTGGAGATGAGTGAGACATTTGCTTCGAGCACTCTGGCGGGCTGTGCTGCTTGCTGCTTGCCACTCCAACCGCGGCAGGAAGCTGAAGCCACACTTCCGCGAGATCTCTCATCTGGCGCGGGGGCCGGTGCGGTCGCATCACCCGTGCGACGGGGGTTTTGGGCGGAGGAAGCGTCGTCGTCTTCTCTGAAGAGGCGGTGCGGTCGGTGACCGGTGGCCTTTGATGGGTGGCTTCGGGGGATGAAGCGTGACCGTTGTAGATCCCTTGAGTGACTTGATGGATCAAAATGTATACAGAAACACAGAAGGATATGGGACGGCAACCATGGAATTTTGTTTTGAAGAGTTGGAATTTGATGGAATTGGCTTTTGCTGCTCCAGAGTTTCTATTGCCCTGCCATAGGCTCATGCAAGCTTGGTACATCATGTCTAATTGTATAATTGTTTCCTATTGTTGCTATACCGTTCCCTTCAAACAAATCATTCCAAACTCACAAGTGTTTGGCGAAACTGAGTCGAACTGAGGAAGACTCCCTTTTGGATGAGGTTTTTAATGGGAGAACCCTTGCGAGAACTGAGAACCCCAAGAACGTTTTAGGAGACAGGCCTATTTGCTTGGTGATCAACCTTTCCCTGGTATTACCACTAGGAACAAGAAGCTACTAGTTGCTCTTGGCATTGCTACTGGTAACGAGAGGTACTAGTAACAAGGGCATCGCTACTAGTAACAAGAGCACTACTACTAGGTGGTCCTCAGAACTTCTCAGTGTCCATGCTTCAAACCTTAGCTCTGAACATTCAGGCCTTTGCAGGGGTTCTCACTGCTCGAAAGCCCAGCGGCGTTGGTTGGGCGCATTGGGTTATTCATAATAGGGCTGACGTCGGTTGAAGTTGCCATCGGTTCATCTTTCCGATGGCAAGCTGAGGGTGGAAGCATCTCAACTTAGTATGTCCATGTAATGCATGTATGTCCATGTCGCCATCCATTTCCCATTGATTTGGTCTGATACTCGGAGTCTCATACGCTATTTGTGTGTGTGTGTTTGAAGTATCGGAAAATTGACCAAACATGCATACTACTGCGGGGAGAAAGCATCCTGTACGATGAGCCTGATTGGCCCTTGAGAGAAAGGATAATTACTTAATTACTTATAATTATAAGCTGTTTGCATCCAGTGCCACCGAAATAGGTAAAGACCAGCAGATTCGGGGCCAAAGACTATAGTGCTCGGACATGTGCACTTCAAACATGATCATGGATATTGATGGAACCCATGTGAGCTTTGTTTTGATTGTTTCGAGTGGCAACCCGGCAAACCATGTCGGGTGGGATCAACCAAAACTCCCCCTATATCCGTTTCGCTAGTTTGCTCCGCGATTGTGAGCCTCCAACAAATCCATGCCTTTCTCACAGAACCCCGCTGAACCCCCTTTCATCTCCCGCTCTTCACCGAAGACACCGAAGACCCCCCAAGGCCTGTATCCTGGTGGACGCTGGGCTGGAGATCGTGGGGGAACGACAGCCACTGGGCACGAGGAACGAAAGCGGTAGCGCGGTAGCGACCGCGTCGCGTGGATGGGAAAAAGAAGAAGCGGTAGGATCTGTAGGGATCCGGGAAGGTACCGAACCTCAGGTTCGGTACGGTACGAGCCTCAAAACCTACAGAAGAGTACCTCTGAGAAGGTACGACCGGATCCCTAGGGGATGGAAGATGAAGATGTCGATTTTGTCGACATCTTCCACTATTGATATGACAATGGGAATAGATGATGGGTTGATGATGAACGGCCTCCATGGCAGAAGATGTGGTCGTTCATTTGTGACCTGGTCCAAATTTGGGAAAAGACATTTGTAGCCCCGCATTGAGCCACCACACATACATGTGGAGATGTCGAGCTTGGCAGTTTGGATAGAAACTTGCATGTACTATCATGTGCTTGATATAGTATGCTACTAGAGGCTACCGGCTACCTATATTCCGATGTTCTAATGTTGTATCCATCGCATACCTTAGACTGAGGTGGACCGGTACAGGTGGAAGTTCATTGCTAAACGTGTGAGACAAAAGTTTTTGCATGGCAAACCACACACAAATAACAGCCCAGGAGCCTACAGCACCCAACCCAAGTGATTCCAGAACGAAAAACACTAAACACCAACGAACATGAACCATTCATTTGCTCAATGAAACGACGCAAGATGCGGTCGGCCAGTTGGACCTAGCGCCGGCTTCTAGCGCCGGCCCCGACCCCAAAAAGCCACAGTGGTGCGAAAACGCCAATGACCGCGCCTCCAGTGACCATGTTCACTTATGATGCCTTTCAGTATCAGCTATATATATCCCTAGGGCTCCAAGGACCTTCTGAGAAGGTAGGGTGAGTTTAGAGTTTAGAGGGTCCAAATACCTTCTGAGGAGGTAGTTGGAGCCCTAGGGTATATAATAAGCTATTTACGTGGTGAACCGATGGTCGGAAGGCGGAGGACAAGATCCGCTCGGGAGTGCACATCGAATCGTACAGTATGAGTGAGTGCGCCGGCGACACTTGCCTTCACCATGCTCCAGAAATGCTGAACACCGAACATCCGGATTCTGAGTTCTTGAATGAGGATTCCTGTTCATTGGTGGAACCAACTGGGGATGCTTACTCTCACCTACTCCCATGTCCACCGCCGCATCCAGTCGAGCCGCTAGTCCATTTGAGCAGCCGAGGTATACATCAGCTGTGACGATGGGGCTTGTGCTGGTGCGGCCCACAGCTGACCACAGTGCAAATGCACCTTGCTTACTCAGACACTTCATGCATGGTATACAGTGGATTGAGAGTAGATGGCACAAACCCCAAGATGTCTTTCAGATGGGGGTTCATATAAACCACCTTTTGGGGATTGCGCCATCTACTCTCAACCCACTATATGTAAAAAGATACATTGACCGTCATTGACCCGTGAAACTTTCCCAATGCATGTAAATATGCCATACCAGGAGTTTTTGGGTTGTGTACAACATGTTCCATTCATGTATACTATACTGACTAGTAAGTTAGGACTTGTCGAACATATATGGCGATTCCAAATTTCTATGTCATTTGGCTTGAACCAACATGGTCATTAGCTCTTAAGTCCTATGTCATCAGGCCACAACCATCACAATCAATGGAAAAAATGAGGCGTTCAGTGAAGATGCTTGATTGTTTTTGGCGTCCAAAGGTCCTATGACACCAGGTTTCCCCACCCAGACATCCTGTATTGCTCGATGTGTGAGCGCAGATGACCTAGCCCTGTGCGTAGCCGTGTGGGTATGTCACTTGAACCGCATTTGCCTAAGTCACAAATATATAGACAATATAAAGAAAAGTCTCCACGGGACCCTCTTGTGTTTCTACAGCGTGCTGTTGTAAGTGCGAAAATTGCTTAGGTAATTCTGAGGTATAGTGCAGAATGTCCTCCTTCAATGATTCGATTTCACTAGAGGGCAACCTTGCCAGGTGATTAAGCGCAAGGATTCCATCACAGGGTCCCTGATCTGTCTTTGCAAGCCAAAGGTATCCCAAGGCCTTTTCGTGCTATGCCTGAAGTGTCCTACACCCGCACCAGTATGTTCATGTTGCCTTTTCAAAGAGGCAAATCTCTTACTACTACAGCGTGCAGTAGCGAGTGCGTGGCAACTCAAAAACGGTTCTAACCACCAGAGCCCAACCCCCCCTGCAGCATCCCGCCCTGCAGAATATTCTTCCTCACCGAACAGACCGTACGACCAGACCGTGGTGGCCTCACCGAACAGCCTGAGATCTCTGGCCTGCACAGGCCTTGCTGGTGTACCAAAGCCCCGTGCGGATGCCAATGCCGGTGACAGGGAGTGATTTGGGGGCTGGTCTGCGGGTTTTTTGGGGTCTTCCAATACGGCACTGGCCGGGGTAGTAGGGTGCAAACGGTCGAGACCAATACGAGACCTGACGCACTCAGACGCTTCATGCCTTCACTGCTTAGAATGAGCGAGGCCAAACGCAGGCGGCTGACAGGTGAAGCCTTCTACTTCCAGGACGAAACAAACATACATAGCCGGCATAGTTTTTAGCGTTGGTTAAAGCTATACTCTGGTTTCCCTTGGTCCGGGTTTCTAGATGTGTTTCATAGGGTTTCTAACAGCCTTAATCTAACTGTGGTGATCATCCTCCCTTTTCTCCAGCGATCACTGTACAGACCGGTGTACAGGCCTAACTTGGAGAGCCGTTTACGGAGAGACTCTGATTCATTGGAGGCAAGCGGCTTGTAAAGGAGAATGCTGGTGGAGAGTCAGCAGATTTCAGCGATCACCCAACTGAGCGTCGCCAAGATGAACTAAGTAACGGCCTTGTCACACGGAACTTTGGTGTAAGCAAAAACTTCAGAGGCGTAAGGTGGCGTGAGGGAGTTGTGTGACATTCGTGTTGCATAAGCTTTGCATAAGCTTTGTGTTTGTCACCTGCAGATTTGCACGAAGGACCGTCATATAAGCGTGTCCCTTCAGGGAATGGTTCTCATGTGTGCTCGCAGAGGCGTCAGATTTGCATAAGGTCTCTTCCGGCATACTTTGTACGTAAGCTCATTGTGGTCGCGCGCAAGCAGGAGCGTAAGAATTTGTATGCGACATAGGGGTTTAATAACACGTTATACGTATTTTGCAGAGCTCAACTGTTTTCAATTCCAGGTGGCCGTCCCACATTGGGAATGCAAGTTGCCATTGTACGTCGACGTGGTCGCCCAAAACATGGCGCCAAAACACGGGCCGCTTGCTCCATCGCACACCCGAACGCTTCGTCGTCAAAGTAAGACACCCACAACGCCGCTTCGGTGGTGTGGCAGTCAGGCTGGCAGATCCTGGCACCAGATCATCCGGGGCAAGCACACGTGGCAACTATCCGCTCGTTCGTTTCTACTCGCCTCAGGGAGAGACACGAACCAACGAAGAAAGGCAATAGACCGCCACTTCGTTCATCACAGATGGCAGCCATGGCACATTCCATGGCATGGAGAAGGAACTTCAAGCCAAGGCAGCCGAGGGTCTCCTCAGGCCAAGGGCAACAACAATTGGTTTCTGACTCCTGAATCACAGACTTGCACCAGCCAAAAAAGGGGCGACACGTTTTCAAAAAAGCCCAGGCCGGCGGTCCTCCGGCTGCCCAGTCCTGCGTGATGGGTCCGTCCGGAAACTGCAAAGAGGGCAGCATTCTAGTGAATGCCGAGCACTTTCTGAATGGGCTTGCAATGAGCTCTCTCTCTCTCTTTCCCATTGTTTGAGAACTTCAATGCAAATAGAAAAACCTCTGCCAGCTGCCGTGCACCGGCTTCGTTCCCTGGCGTTCCCGCCGCCTTCCGCGGCATGCCGGCTTCGCGCCCGTGCCGTGTCGTGGTGGACCGAGGCACTGGCCGTGTCCACGGATCGCTGGCTCGCGAGGTGGGGCGCCCGGACGAGGAACGTACCGGAACGGACGGGGCACAGGTGATAGCAGGACGGCATAGGTGATAATAGGTGATAATAGGTGATGCGTTAACGGACATCACAATCATGGTGGATAGGTGTTGACACATGCTTTTTTCACAGCGTCTCTGCGACTGGCAGAGATTGGCCGATGGGAGGATGTATTTCATGAGCATGTTTTGTCGGTTTCGTGGAAGACAATTTGTCCTCGTTTTCGGTTTGACGTTGCTGAGATAGTGTTGAGGGACCCAGTTTGCAACACCCCCTCATGATGCATATTTGACCATTATTTGACCATATTTATTTGCAGATTCTACTGGTACATGAAAGGAACGCATACTTGGCCCAAAACCCCAACTTGGCAATATTTTGTAACAACAACTGTGATACGAGAGGTTTGTGCAACACAACATGTTGGTTTCCTTGAAACGATAAACTTCACCATGCATATACTGAGGATTACTGACGACCATATCCTTGGTAGACCCGAACTCAATCATATCTTGCGGGGGTCCTATTACCTGTGACAGTCGGTAAACAGTGAAATCACGATAATTTAGGGAATGGCCTTTACATGTCTTTGCCAACCATCCTCATCCACTGTACCCAGGGAATAGGATCCACGCCATGTATCCCATCATATCCCCCCCGTTGTTTGTCCGTTTCGCTGCAGGGGTACGCCTGACATCACGCTGCCACTACCCAAAGGACAGATATCGGATCAGCCCGCCGGATCGGGTCGACAGTGGCTGGGCCGAAACTGGTGACTGATCTGGGATCTCCTACGATTAGCAGGACAGCGGAATGCTGTGGTGCTTAAGGCGTCCGCCCCTACGACTTCGATCTCCTACTTCTGGGTGGCCACTACGATTTCTCGGGGTCGGGTTTGGTGCCTGAACCGAGCGAGATCCTGGACCGGCAGGATCTGCGTGGCAAAAAGCTGCAACGGATGATCCACTGGCGAAAGAACTGGGGCAGTTGACCAAGTGTGGTCAGAACCGGTGAGTGTGAAACGGAGTATGACACGTGGTTGTGATGTTCATCATAACTGAACACACGGTATATACGTGGTTGTGATGATCAGAGTCTGACACCGGTGGAGTGCTGCCCGCTGTTCATTCTACAGTACCAGCTTCGGGAACTTAGTAGTTGTCCTGAGCGGATATTTTGGACCAACAATTGACCATCATCCCCATCCTGAAAATTCGGGTGGTGGTTTCGGATATTCTTGTTTTCAACCCTTACTTACTTGAGATGATTGCATCCACTCACTTATATAGTTTTATTTATTGTATATACTATACTATGTATAATGATAATATGTGTCATCTGCAAGTTGAAACAACCAACCAATTCATTCATGAGGCAGACATCCCCGATAGGGCGGTCCCATTTTTACTGTGGAATGGATGAATGGACAGCACACTGCCAATCCAGTGATGGAGGGTCCAGGGTCGGTCCAAGTTAAAGTTTCCAGCAGATCGAGGTGTGGTGGCTGTCCAATTTTGACTCAACATGACTCATCACAGTTCTCGCTGAACAGTCTTGCCGGAACGTTTCTTGCTCATGTGAGGAGACCTCCAACATTTGCCGGAGCCAGTGCGACTTGGCTGGGAGGATCGGTCGAGGGTGCATAACATTCAGATGACGACTAGTAAATGGAGCCATGTGTCTATCAACCAGAACTTGGGTGGGCGGACATCAATCAAGATGGGTGCGATGAGAGCAGTGGATAGAAACCATGCCCATGTTTGCCTCCTAGCAATTTCTCATCCACAACAGTAACATTATGGACCTTCGTCACGTGGGCGCACAGTCCAGAACGACAACAGGATATCCCCGGAATGTATACAAATACTAGAGTTCAACATGTTCCTTGTTGTGCTCCGTGCTAGATGCCCTGCAAAATACTTAAACCGCGTTTCCACAGATTTTGCAACACGCCCTTCCACCACGGACAAGAAGACCATCCTTGGTTCGCGATGTGTACTCGTGTACTGATCCCATTTTGTATGAGGCCGGAAAACAATGCACAGAGCACCTGCCCTATCCTGCCCTCAATAACTATTTGTCAGCCTGTGCTCATGCACTTGCAAGACAGTAAAACAACAAAAACAATAGACACACCTGCCTGCCTGCCTGCGTGAAAATAATTCAGTTGAGCCCAAGTCTTCTATCCACATGAATACACTCCCTAAATGATGCCCTGACCCCTTGCCTAACAACCCTGAAACAACATGTATACCTTATACTCAATTTGATTCAATTGGAGTCTGCTTTTGCTCTTGCGTTTGTCAGCTTGCTTCAAGCCGCGCGGGCCAACTACACCAACGGACCTTCCACGCCGAACGGACTGCACACAAGACGCCCAACAAAAAAACACGAACCGCCGCTCGGTGCCCAACCAAAAGAAAGTCCGAACACCTAGCCACTCGAACGGCCATGGAAACCACCTACCACTAGTAGACTTACCACTAGTGGAACTACCACCAGTAGACCTACCACTAGGTCTTCAAGCTCAACTTTGTTGAAGATCAAGGCACAGATGCTTTCCCAGAGAGTCCCAGGGTGCTTGGTTTGACCACCTAAACTTTGCACGCTCGCCACGCGAAGCGCACGCCCGACCACGTGCCACCAGCACTCACTCTATAATACCATCGCTAGTGTGCACACGTTGAAGAATTTGAGCTCAGCGATTGAAAATAATCACCCTGATGTTATCATGTTCCATCATCACACATGTAGACAAGTAGGTGCAATACATAGAAGAAACGTACGTACTCGCCACTTCATCGACAACATCCTGCCACCATGCAACAGCTGTGGGAACTGAAAGGCACCCAGAGTAGAACAGAGTAGAACAGCAGAAACCACTTTGTTAAGCAATCCCTAGGAATCGATTAATCTGTTTCCAACAAAAGTCAAAAAATTGTCAATGGATTGATCACCAGTGATATCCACACTTTTTCCACATGTATATATTAATAGCATCGTTATGTGTTTTTTGATCAAAGCATGTCCAAATTCTTGCTAAACTTGAGAGGGTAGGGACCACGGCAAAGAATAGGATGACCTGACCACGCCAAAGTTTAGGATGACCACGCACCAGCATGACCCAATCTGGCAGCTGGCACAAAAACATTCTTATTATTGAAGAATCCACTTCACCGGTCGAGAACAGGTCCTGGTCGCTGCATCCATGATCCATTTCTCTCTGTGGATATGTTTTTTGAATACTGACCACGGGCCATCTCTAATTGTATCCCTCGCAAGTAGGAAATATCTGTTTCACTGAAAAGATATCATAGATCGATCTATATAACTATTTACCCTTCAGGATTGATGTGTGAACCATATTTTCTGCCTCACTACCCTACATGCTCAGCCCCTGCGCATGGCAAAGTTCGGCCCTAGTTCAGTGTCTTTGGCAAAGTTTAACCTTTTCCTAGGGGTATCCTATGCACATACTTAGACCTACTAGGGTTTTGTTGCAAGAATATATATATATGTAAACGTCCCAGCTCAACAAAGCGTACATGTAGCCACGCAGTTAAAGAAGATCCACCCTTGCTCTCCGACAATTGCCTGTTTGAAGCATTGGTCATCTAAGATGGCATCCCGGGCACCGCTTTGCGACGCGAGATGGCAGCATTCCTCGCACGCATCGCCGCGACAATCGATTGGAACGGCGCCTGCTTTGAAGCTCAAAGTTGCACGGCCCTGAAGCTTTATATTGGGGTGGCTGCAGAGACATCAGCAACCGCAGAGTCCTCGTCCACGGCAAACCATGGAACGGAACTGCTCATTACAAGGCACCACTTACCCGCTCAACCACGGCGGAGGCCACTTCGACACCCGCTCAACCACGGCGGAGGCCACTTCGAAGCATCAGTCAAGGTGCAAGTTTGCTACAGCTTCGTGGGTTTTATGTCGGCAAGGGCCTTCTGGTCATTTCTGCGCACTGAACAGTGGGGACATTCCTGAAGGCCACGTCCGCATAGAGGCAGCTCAACCTGCCAACTGCATTATGGTTTCTGAGGAGGTACAGCTACACAACAAGAATAGATTCGAGCTATTGGTTGTGGCAGGTGTCCAGCGTGGCACTGCCATTAACCAGCCATATTGGCCGTTTAAAATTCGCGCTGCAACTGGGTTTTCAAACTCCTCTATTCGCGACGAGGCCGATCTACTTTTCAATGCGGATGTGATTTATGTCCGTCCGCAAGATCAGGGACACGACTTGTCCAATTTCAGAGGAACAGGCGTCCCTGTGATCGGAGCCCTCAGTGAGATCCCTCAGGTTGCATATCATCGCACCTACCATGCAGCGATCAAAGGCATCCAGAAAGATGGACTGATCGTAGCAGGTAAAATTAAAACCTCCCTGAAGCCAAGTCCTAAAACTCACAAAGCCAAAGCACGATTGGTGGTGCTGGGCTTTCAGGATCCAGATCTTGATACTATTGCAAGAGATTCACCTACGCTAGGTTGCCAAGCAAGGATGTTGATTTTGCAGCTCGCAGCCTCGATGCGCTGGACCTTACGGTCCTTTAACATAAAGGCAGCGTTCCTCCAAGGGAGGACACAAGAGGGGAGGATCTTGGGGTTGGAACCAGTGCCCGAGCTCAGAGACGCCATGGGTCTGCAGCCAAACGAAATATGTAAGTTAGCCAAGTCGGCTTATGGACTTATTGACGCGCCGTACCTATGGTTTCAAGAACTCGACAAAGCACTCAAAGGGCTTGGTTTTCAATCTGCCCTGTTTGATCCGTGCACCTGTGTCCTCTATAAGCCCGGAAAGACGGAACCGTCAGGCATCATTGGAATGTACGTGGACGCTGCAAATGTAGTGCTCGCTGCAGTAGCGTTGGAGCTGCCTGTGGTGAAGGACCATCCCTTGTGGGTGATGGACCGTCCGAGGGCCCAGGCAGTGGAGGGAGGCGATGATTGCCTCATTGCGTGAGGCTGGACCAGGCAGATGCCACAGGCAGACGCCAGGTTGAGGAGACGAAGTTGAAGTTGTCCCTGGGAGTCCGCCTCCATCAGGGAGTGGTAATTGTGTCGCGCTGTGTATGCTACTGCTGCTGCTACTACTTCGTGAATGCTCTGGACAATGTATAACTATGCTCAGTGAGGAGTGCCTGCAGAAGATTGAGGGTTACACACATGAACAGGATCTGTATAGATCACGACGTCGTTCATGATCGCACGCCGGTGCACCGTACTGTGACCATCCGTGACCGAAGCCTCCAGAATCGCACGCTGCACTGTTTATGTTTCATATGTTTCAACATTGCGGCTAGTATGTGGGCCCAAGTATGAGACATGCCTCGCGATAATCTCCTGGAAGTAGCTGGCTTTCCTCCAAGTGGTGTTCAACTTGCTGGTTGAAAAGCCTCTACAACGGAATGTTTGAATGGATCAACCTCACCATCCTCACTACATTGAGGCCAGATTGAATATATACATGTCCATAACATTCCGTGATCCATCGCAGCCCCGCTCTTTGATGAAAAACATGTCGCGCTTGGCGATAACAACTTTGGCAGGAAACATTGTTTATTCCATCCGGCACACATTCTTCGGACTTGAAACTGCAGACCCCACCTTCTCTTTTCCTCCCCTGTCATCTCAGGGCGTGATGGTTTGTCCCTTCCTGCTTGTTTTTTTCACATTTGGTCAGTCACGTGCTCACCTCAAGTCACCCCTCCCAACGAAAAGTCGACGTCTAGCGGCAGCCAGGGAAGACACCAGCCGTGACTTGGGTGACGTTGTGGTACCGCCCTGCTGCGTTCCTTTTTGTTCCTTGGAGAAAATCTACCGGAGGCCTTCTGGGGTCAGTTCCTGCGGTCGGGGGCCATGTCATGTTTTTCTCTAGGGTCTTTAATTCATGTTCGAATGGCCCATCATTATGACCGAATGATCACACTTGAAACCATTGTTTGGAGCTCACTGATGTTCACTGTACATGTTGGTTTGATGCTTTGCAAGTCTTTGAGGCCAAAATGCCAACTGCATGCCCTCCTTTTGCAGAGCTGGAACTTGCACTGACCTGACGTGCTCGCCATCCAACCAGAGAGAAGAAATCAGATGCAGCACCAAGGTGCCTTTCATGGTCGCTACTTCCTTTATCCACAGCCAGCCAGTGAGTACGAGCAGGACGAAACCGGTAGCGCACACGAACATGATGTTTCAGCGTATGTGTGTTCACAAACAAAAGATGTCTCCTGAACATGTCAGAGTGAAAGGTTCATCACGAAAAGCCACATGCCAGCAGTCACAAAGGGGTGCTTAATGGAGGTTTGGGGTGCCCATTATCCACTCACTTAGGGACCAAATGCAACTCCTTTGTGACTCCTGGTGTCCTTTCGTTCTTTCCGGATGTCGACCGGTCGAAATCGGAGGGGAAGAGTGAACGATTGGCTTGACCCCACGGAACCCTTTGATTCCGTATGTTCAATCACCCGGTGGAGGGGGGGATTGGCGTGGCGCCTTTTCCCGCTAATCCGGATGACTGGAACAGCAATGGAACACTGCTCACAGCCTGGAGACGTAAAGCCTGTTACCAATTACACTGAGAAGTGAAGCTTTATCCCTAGCGCCTACCTCCTGAGAAGATGGTTATGGTGGGTGCCAGGGGGGTCTAACCACCTTCTGAGGATATGGGCCAGGAGCCCTAAGGGTTAAGTTCATGTTGTTCAACAGATCGGCGCTGTTGAGTTGTGTGGCAGGCAGGCAGGCTTTGGTTGCTTTGGGCATCGGGCGTGATGGGACTTCTCTTGACCTCAAATGTCAAGATCGTTCAGTGGCAAGGTCCGTCTGCCGAACACTACTTCCAAGGGACAAACGGCTTTTTGCCTGTCAACAATCCCGGATTTGCGCAGGAAGGGTTGTTGATCAAGCACACCAAAGAACGAACTTATCAAAAAGAACACTAGCAATACTAGGCCGCCCCATTCGGGCTCCAAGTGTTTCAGAAGATGCTTGGGCCCCGGGCGCTTCTTAGTTTATAGCACTTTAAGTTTTAAGTTTAAGCATCAAAACATTTGGTTGCTGGAGGAGTAATAAATCGTTCCGATCGGTCTCCGCACATTGTCCAACATGAGGAGCTACTGGCCAACATGCAAGCACAGGTGCGTTGGGAACTGGCGTGAGTGAAGACTGCTCGGGAGGTTGCGAGTGCAGTGCGTGGTGTGAAGTTCAGGGAACGACGTGTTAAGGATGTTCCCCACCAGCCAACAGCGTGTTCCACGTTTTCTTTTTTTTTCCGGAACCGCTGCCGTGTCACGAACATGCGGTCGTCGACTCTCCGTGGTGTTCTCGCTGGGACCGGACACCGCAGGGTTCTGCGGCGTTCGTTTCTCTCCGCCCGGCAGAGCTGGCAGAGCTCGTGCCCAGCGAGTCAGCAAGCCTTCAGGCGGAGTTGGAGCAGCTGCAGAAGGAGCAGGAGCAAAGTACTCGGCGCCTTCTTGAGATCGAGGCGGAGAGCTGCGCCAGTTGGGAAGTTGTGCGTACCATCATCCGAAAAGAAACAGGTCACTACACCTGCCAACAGAGGACAGAGGAGACATGTTGGATGGTGCTGGTAGAGGTGTTTTGGAATGTTTTGGAGCTTGGTGTTTTTTTAAGGGACATTGGCAAACATGGGTCTTGCGGGTGGTACCATGGTGACATAGCGCGACCACGGCATTTAGTAAGTTTTAAGAGAGTTTTGCCTCCGGGGGTGAACAAGATCCCAAGTGAATGGGCAGAAGGTAAAGACTCGTACTGTTCCGGAGTGGTTCTTTTGAATGTCAAAAGGTCAACGGAGACACCAGTTACACATCGATTTCGATGTTGGATTGGTGAAGTGAGGAATCAGGGTGGGTCTATCCGTGATTGATAAAGGACCACACTAATTTCCAGAATACCCAGAGACTCCATGGGACTGCCATATTTGCCTACATTGACCCCCAAAACCACCCCAATGTAGGCATATATGGCATACGTGGAGCGTCTGGGATATGTGATATGTGTGTGTGTGTTTTCTTGGGTATGGTTCTTTTTTGACAGCTCTTTATTCTGGAGGTGTATTCATCCATACGGTGTGGGGAAATCTATGTTACTAACATGAGAGGCTATGAGCATTGGTTTGTGACGGGTTTACAAACCGACATGTCAGAAGAGGACAAACCTTTTCTGCAATTTTTTTCAGAATCTTTCAGACGTGCCCTGGCAAACTGTTTGCATGTGGGAAGTTGAAACCAATATCAACTGAGCCCAGCTACGTGATCATGTGGGAAACCGGGAAAGCAACAAAAACTCCAGGGCCCGGGCGTAAACCAGCCCAGCTTGAGCCGAAGAGCAAAGGTCGAACCTGGATGAATCAAGTAAAGCCCCTCCTGCATGATGGGGGGTTGAAAGACCATTGAAACACATCTACCACCATGGCCCTTTGCAAGACATGGCTGTGGGATCGACTCGAGACGTCGGTTGGAATCGATAGAATGTCTCCCGTCAAGCCACGGGGTGGGGCCTGACCTGCGCGACGTCCAGGGGCAGCTGGAAGCACTCCACCAGCGACAAGCTCAGCGTGTCGAAGAAGAGCCAAAGGCGGCGCGGCGCGGTCGCTTCGCCAGCGCGTGTTGTGTGATAAGCTGTTGTATTGGTTGTGAGGACCGAGGAAGAGCATGTTGAATCAAACAGAATCCAAATGAGTTGCTGGAAGTTCATTCATATCCCATCATATCATATCCCTGAAGAAAAAGACCATCAAATGCAGTTCTTTGTGTTTGGAAAACATTCGGTTCATGAAAAAAAAAGGGTTCTTGACATTCGCTACCATTCGGGACCCTTCCTGAATTCCTTAGGGCTCCTGGCCCACCTCCTGAGGTTCAAAGGTTGGGGTTGGTTTTGGGGGTCTAACCACCGAACCTGAGGATATGGGCCAGGAGCCCTAGGGATTCGTCAGGAAACAACACGACGGGGTGGTCCCAGAAACTCCCACAGATCGGTCCCATGTACCCACAGCGGTCACATGGAGCATCGACATGAACGCTAGGCCCGGCCCAGGCGGAGGAGAGGATGACTGACCTCGTTGAGAGGCCAGCGAGATGGTCCACGATCATTCATCGCCGAGGGAGAAGGGTCATCCAGAGTCCGCGAAAGGTGCGGTTCCCCTTGCTAAAGCTGGGAACCACTTGACCTGCAAAGTCGATTAAAAGAATGTGAGGCCGCTTTGGACAGAAAGCTTGATGAGACCACCGATGAGAATGAGCGATGGCAATGGAAGCTGGACATCAGCCCCCTCACGTGCCTGTGCAAGTTCCGGGCCGACCACAGGAGGGTTGTTGCCGTTGCCTCCTCTCAGTGGTGGACAAGGCCCTTGCAGCCAGAACTTTCAGCCGGCATTCCAGGCACAGATGTGCGAAGGGAGACCTCCAATGCCGCAGCCAACCTCTGTTTGTCATGCTCGGACCAAACGACCAGTCTACTCCTCTTCGACAGCCGGTCTCAGTTCTGCGGAACCGGCCCTTTTTGGTTCCAGAAAACGAAATGTTTACTTCTTTTATTGTAGAACTCCTCAGCTCTGCTCACGCTGAGCTCAGTGGTATCACCAGTCAGCGATATTGTAGAACTCCTGATACGTGAGAATGCTTGGTGGATCTTGGTGGTCATGCGTCCTCGTGGTCGAAGATCGATTCTACAACTGAATACTTGGTCTCGATGAGCTGGGATGACCCGCCATAGATGTATGCTGACCCACCAATTGATGTCTAATTGACCCATGAGTCAGTTGACCACGATTAAAATGTCTGACCACTGGTTATCACTGATTCTGATTTACTGATTCCTTGGCAAACTCCCTAAATCCTGTGTAGTTGTACCTATCCTTTGTTCTGGCGACAGCAGGAGTTCGAACGACAGCTCCAGGCCATGGGCTGGAGTTGTGACGGGACTATTTTGGGACTGGGGGGCTCCTATGTTTGCACCTTTTTGGCGGTGTACAGAGAAATATAGTATGGCACTGTCATTTTTGTTTTGTGTTGGTGGGTTGGATTGGTTTGTATGGTATTTGCTGCTCTAATTCGGTGTCTACAAACTATTGGCCTTCAGATGGGTAAGTTTGCTGTTCCAAGAAAAGGGGGCATACCGGAAGGCCCTGAAAGAACTCAAGAATACTAGTTTCATTAGATGTCATTAGGCAATAATTTCCGCCTAACTTTATTTAGACTGAACATGCCGCCTCCATGCAGGAGAAAGAACCAGAAATTGAATGACAACGCTTTTGAGAAAACCACGACCTGATGTCAATCCTCTGTCCACCCAACTACTGATTGTAATTGTAGTAAAGCGTTAACGGGCAAGACGCATCAGTATCGGGCAAGAACGCCCAAGTAATGGGTAGGAATGCCTACAAAGATCTTAAGAATCAAAGCATAGAAACACACAACAAAATCATGCGTGAATTCCTGATATACAAATGGTTTTCATCACTGTGGAAATTCGTGGAACCAGTGTTGGGTGGATCCTTATTGCCACCGAAAAGACAAGAACGCTAAGAGGGGACAAGAACCCTATACCGCGGCAAGAACGCCCAAGCATGACAATGGTGCCTTTCCCATGATAGGCAGACATTTCTGCCCAAGAAGAGGTTCTAGGTACAAACGAAACACCGGTGCAGGAAAACTAGTTTTCACCGCAACTATTCCTTCTGGTTGCACCAGGTACATTGTGGATGTCGTTGCATGCAGGTCAACCAGATCGTTCTTTCAAGCAATATGTGTTTAAATACTGATCTCCACAGGTTATAGAAGAGGTCCAGAAAAATCAACATTTTCGTCACTTGCAGAGTCTCCTTTGAATGCACCACCATGACTGGCGCTGCCGGAATGAGGCACAGATTTGACTTATGAGAGACGTGGACAATTCAATAAAGGACAGATCAGATCAGCAAAACACATCCGACTGGTTTCTATGCTGCTTTGAGAGGACTGCACTGTAGATGGACATTAATATAATCCTCTCCTGAATCTTGCAATGTCAAGCCTTTGCACTTTCATCGAAGCAAGCAAGTATGTCGGTTGCAATTTTCATGCGCAAAGCTCAGTTGGGCGAAACCAAGGAAACACACAACAAAGACGAATTCACCAGCAACGAACCACAAACGGTAGGGCACTTGATGGCATCGCGCGAGCCCTTTGTGCGTGGTGGCTACACCACGAGCCCTCCATTGGAAGATGGCCAGATATCTGGAGCATGTCAGCAATGATGACGATGCAGTGGCTCGTCTTTTCGGCGTTGCACCACGTATTCAGGGGAAACCCTCACTCTTCGCTGCTTGTTGGTGGTTCAAGTGTTTCTAAAGCTTTCCATACTTGGGCTGATTCATGGGTTGAAACCACCAACCACGTAATACCAGGACCCTCCAAAATGGGTATAATGGGTGCTGTATCAGCAGGTGGTGGGCGTCTTAGCCCCAGGAACTTGGAACAGTCGAGCTGTCGTATACTCCGAACCTTTTGGACCCCATTGGCCATACCTGGACTGTGGGAGGTCAAGGTCTTTGATCATAGAACATTCACTTTGAACCCATGGGGTTTGAGGGTCTTTCGTTGGAATGTGTCCTTTACATTCTTAGAAGCAGGTGTTGCCTCTATGAATGCCAAACCCAGTCCGTTTGCAGCGTCTGTGTCACTTTCAAGATTTTTCAAGCAGGCTTTAGTAATCGTAAACTGAACGACTTCTATCACGTGTCTCAAACCTCCAAAAAGAGGTGAACCTACGAAGAGGCACGCTGCCTTCCTTTAAAGGATGCCTTTCCCGCTATTTGTGTAGTTGTAGTAGTAGTAGTTGTTGTTGTAGTTGTAGTAGTAGTAGTTGTTGTTGTTGTTGTTGTTGTTGTTGTTGTTCTTGTTGTTGTTCTTGTTCTTGTTATTGTTATTGTTCTTATTGTTGTTCTTATTGTTATTGTTCTTGTTGCTCTGGTTATTCTTGTTCTTGTTGTTGTTGTTGTTGTTGATGTTTGTGGTTTTGTTTTTGTAGTAATTTTGCATTTTGCCTATCATGCCGTCCATTCACATGTTGCAACTGTTTGTTCTGAAGCGCGCTCTTCATGAGTCATGAGTGTTGGCTGTTGGCTCATGAACGAAACAACTCAGCTACCTCACCCCTCCCCAGTTTGACCGACCAACGTCATCTCAACCCCCCACATGGGCCCTACGAATTGAATTTGCAGTATTTGATGACATGGATGCCTTGTGAGCTGTGGGAGTTGTTCAGCACCCTATGACAGCCACAAAACCAACATACAGTCACGCTTCCGATTCTGTTCAACCAATCTCATGTGGCGTCGAGTCGTCGAGTGCATCGCTTGGCGCCTCCAAGGCCACCTCCTTGGCGTGGCTTGGAACGGCGGGACGTGGAGATGGGACGAACAAAAGGTGCAGGTCCACCACTGTGGGTGGGTTTGAGCTTGTTGATGATTTTGTTGGTCGTAAGAAGTTCGAGTGAGGGAGAATTTGCACGATGAGTAAAGAAACCTGCCTGCTGATTTGGGGATCCCCTCAATTTGAAGAAGCATCAATCATCATCAATGTGTTTGTTGAATTCCTATGAATTCCTCAGGGGACCATGGACTGGAAAACATGATTGCTTTTATAAAATATGACTGCTTGTCATAGGGAAGGTTATAATATATTCCCTGAGTTATATATTCCCTGATTGCAACACAAAGAAGTGAACAGCAGGGTATCCGATGGCCAGGTGTTCTCGTTTTGTTTCTCGTGTTCCGCAACACTCCATGTTCTACATGCCCGTTTGGCTTTTGGTCACACAGATTTGTCATGGCGCCGCAGACCTTGCAGTGATGTGTTTTGTCTATCTTTCACTCGTCTCGAGAGCCTTCAGTCTGTGTGTGGCTGGCGCGATGAAGCTGGGTGACTGGTCGATGTTGGTAGGCTTGGCAGTTTGGCCAGACGAACACGTGGTGTAGTGGCCTCTTGCGGTGTGCAAGATGAGTTTCTGGGCGTTTGCGGTAGGCCAGCGAATCAATCTACCGTGGTCGTGGTGACCAAAAGCATCCTGCACACTCTCAAAAGCATCCCAACTGATGACCTTTGGGATATTTGGGGATCCTTCTTTGTGTATGTTCCCTGAGGGCTCCAAACTACCTCCCTTCAGGGTCTCACCACCTGAGGATATAGTTGGAGCCGTAGGTTTTTATGTGTTAGCCATAAAACCTTCCGGAGACGATGTCAGACTCCAAGGAAGGTGTGGCAAGGGCAATCGGAAGAGGACGGCGATGGGTGCGTTCGACGGCCAAATCCTTCGCCTTGAACGCCGGTTGCTGAGGGGGTTCCCTTGGAATCCGTGGCCTTTTAACCATGAATACTCCGTTTTTGGTGGTTTCAGGGTGGGGATCACTTGAAGTAGATCCTGAATTCAGTCGAGGTGCTTTCTCTGGGTCAATGTCATGGTTTACTTAATGTGGATGGTGTGGGCATGCCCAATGCATACATGGCTTCTCCATCCCCCTGGCATACCGAGTTTGGTTTTGACACGACCACTTGATGGAGAAGGGAACACACGGGATCTAGCGGATCTAGCGGAGATTTAGCAAAAGATGCGATTACTCCCAGGTGTATCCTATAACATGTAAACATCCGCATCCATCCATGGCGTCCTATGGCATCTCAATGCTACCCGAGCTGCCCTGCATCCTCTCTCTCTTTGGAAGTCCACAGTTGATATCATTATGGTGCTTAAAGTCACTCTTGGCTACCTTTCTGCCCTGCCGAAAAGATTCGACAGTGAGTTCTGGCGCTTGCTATTTTTAGCGAGTATAGGATCCAAGCCTGAGAATTCAGAAGGGAAAATGTTTGGTCGACCTGGCTAGGTTATTATCTGATATTATTTGATTTTGTGGTCGTCAACACTCGATAATTCCTTGTTGATGACATGCTGAGCACAACTTAACCTGAGACGAAGAGTATCCTGTGCTGTGAGGAGTTTGACGTTTGTTTCATCATTTTTGTTAATCAACATTTCAATGATATTTGCTCCATCTCATACCTCTTCTATCAAAAAGCTGACCAAGTTTTTGCAGGGGGAAAGCTCCACCACAAGACCAAAAACCCAGAAGCCCATTTGGTGCGCGTCCGGTGTCAAAACCAAAACCCACCAGTGATCCACACGGCCAGTCACACCATGCCCATGACCGGAGGATGGCATTCTGCAAATGGAGCGATTGGACTTGCGGCCAGATGGCACCTGAGCTGATGGACCACGCGTGCGTTCGCATCGATCGAGCGACTGCCAGCTGGCGTTTGCCTCGAAGCGATGTGGACTTTGGGTTCATCACACCCCTCCATTTGGCTGGTCAATCCTCGATGGCTTGACCTGTATATTCGACGTGCACAGTGCACAGCTTCGCACAGTGCACAGCTTCTCGCATCGCTGCCTCTTGTAGGCACCTTTGATCATCGTGTGCGGCAGCGCTTCGAGAGGCGGCATATGTTCGCCGGGCCGGGCATTTGGCACGTGTCGGACGTACTTTTGTCTTCCATAACAGCCTCGGCATGTCCCCGAGGTGTACTAAAAATGCTGAAGATGCCAATGGCTACAAGCAGCTTTAGAAGCACCAGTAAGTATTAGAGATCATATATGTGCTGATGCCATCCCAAAGGAAAATATATCAACAAATATAAATTCATTAAACAAAAAAGAACTTCATGAAGAACATGTTGCTGGAACAGATGTGCTTTGTAATGTAGGGATTGATCTTGAGCACCATGTCCCCGCCCAAAGAAGCGGATTGAAGTGGTCTTAGGAGAGGAGTTGAGGGTGGCCACGCACGGGATGCACCCTCAACCGGTGTGAAATACAGCCCTTGCATGTCCTTAGTGCCATCCTTTGTTGCTTCTTTGTACCAG